CATACCACTAGGATCTGGTCAGAGCCAGCACCCCATACCACTAGGATCTGGTCAGAGCCAGCACCCCATACCACTAGGATCTGGTCAGAGCCAGCACCCCATACCACTAGGATCTGGTCAGAGCCAGCACCCCATACCACTAGGATCTGGTCAGAGCCAGCACCCCATACCACTAGGATCTGGTCAGAGCCAGCACCCCATACCACTAGGATCTGGTCAGAGCCAGCACCCCATACCACTAGGATCTGGTCAGAGCCAGCACCCCATACCACTAGGATCTGGTCAGAGCCAGCACCCCATACCACTAGGATCTGGTCAGAGCCAGCACCCCATACCACTAGGATCTGGTCAGAGCCAGCACCCCATACCACTAGGATCTGGTCAGAGCCAGCACCCCATACCACTAGGATCTGGTCAGAGCCAGCACCCCATACCACTAGGATCTGGTCAGAGCCAGCACCCCATACCACTAGGATCTGGTCAGAGCCAGCACCCCATACCACTAGGATCTGGTCAGAGCCAGCACCCCATACCACTAGGATCTGGTCAGAGCCAGCACCCCATACCACTAGGATCTGGTGTGACCCAGAACCAGCATCACATACTACTAGGATCGAGTGTGATCCAGAACCAGCACCCCATACCACTAGGATCTGGTGTGACCCAGAGCCAGCATCACATACCACTAGGATCTGGTGTGACCCAGAACCAGCATCACATACTACTAGGATCTGGTGTGATCCAGAACCAGCATCCCATACCACTAGGATCTGGTGTGATCCAGAACCTGCATCCCATACTACTAGGATCTGGTGTGATCCAGAACCTGCGTCCCATACCACTAGGATCTGGTGTGATCCAGAACCAGCATCACATACCAGTAGGATCTGGTGTGATCCAGAACCTGCGTCCCATACCACTAGGATCTGGTGTGATCCAGAACCTGCGTCCCATACCACTAGGATCTGGTGTGACCCAGAACCAGCATCACATACTACTAGGATCTGGTGTGATCCAGAACCAGCACCCCATACCACTAGGATCTGGTGTGACCCAGAGCCAGCATCCCATACCACTAGGATCTGGTGTGATCCAGAACCAGCATCCCATACCACTAAAATATGGTGTGTCCCAGAACCTGAGTCCCATACCACTAGGATCTGGTGTGATCCAGAACCAGCATCCCATACCACTAGGATCTGGTGTGATCCAGAACCAGCATCCCATACCACTAAAATATGGTGTGTCCCAGAACCTGAGTCCCATACCACTAGGATCTGGTGTGATCCAGAACCAGCATCCCATACCACTAGGATCTGGTGTGATCCAGAACCAGCATCCCATACCACTAAAATATGGTGTGTCCCAGAACCTGAGTCCCATACCACTAGGATCTGGTGTGATCCAGAACCAGCATCCCATACCACTAGGATCTGGTGTGATCCAGAACCAGCATCCCATACCACTAAAATATGGTGTGTCCCAGAACCTGAGTCCCATACCACTAGGATCTGGTGTGATCCAGAACCAGCATCCCATACCACTAGGATCTGGTGTGATCCAGAACCAGCATCCCATACCACTAAAATATGGTGTGTCCCAGAACCTGAGTCCCATACCACTAGGATCTGGTGTGATCCAGAACCAGCATCCCATACCACTAGGATCTGGTGTGATCCAGAACCAGCATCCCATACCACTAAAATATGGTGTGTCCCAGAACCTGAGTCCCATACCACTAGGATCTGGTGTGATCCAGAACCTGCATCCCATACCACTAGGATCTGGTGTGATCCAGAACCAGCATCCCATACCACTAAAATATGGTGTGTCCCAGAACCTGCATCCCATACCACTAGGATCTGGTGTGATCCAGAACCAGCATCCCATACCACTAGGATCTGGTGTGATCCAGAACCAGCATCCCATACCACTAGGATCTGGTGTGATCCAGAACCAGCATCCCATACCACTAGGATCTGGTGTGATCCAGAACCAGCATCCCATACCACTAGGATCTGGTGTGATCCAGAACCAGCATCCCATACCACTAGGATCTGGTGTGATCCAGAACCAGCATCCCATACCACTAGGATCTGGTGTGATCCAGAACCAGCATCCCATACCACTAGGATCTGGTGTGATCCAGAACCAGCATCCCATACCACTAGGATCTGGTGTGATCCAGAACCAGCATCCCATACCACTAGGATCTGGTGTGATCCAGAACCAGCATCCCATACCACTAGGATCTGGTGTGATCCAGAACCAGCATCCCATACCACTAGGATCTGGTGTGATCCAGAACCAGCATCCCATACCACTAGGATCTGGTGTGATCCAGAACCAGCATCCCATACCACTAGGATCTGGTGTGATCCAGAACCAGCATCCCATACCACTAGGATCTGGTGTGATCCAGAACCAGCATCCCATACCACTAGGATCTGGTGTGATCCAGAACCAGCATCCCATACCACTAGGATCTGGTGTGATCCAGAACCAGCATCCCATACCACTAGGATCTGGTGTGATCCAGAACCAGCATCCCATACCACTAGGATCTGGTGTGATCCAGAACCAGCATCCCATACCACTGAAATATGGTGTGTCCCAGAACCTGAGTCCCATACCACTAGGATCTGGTGTGATCCAGAACCAGCATCCCATACCACTAGGATCTGGTGTGATCCAGAGCCAGCATCCCATACCACTAGGATCTGGTGTGATCCAGAACCAGCATCCCATACCACTAGGATCTGGTGTGATCCAGAGCCAGCATCCCATACCACTAGGATCTGGTGTGATCCAGAACCAGCATCCCATACCACTAGGATCTGGTGTGATCCAGAGCCAGCATCCCATACCACTAGGATCTGGTGTGATCGAGAACCAGCACCCCATATCACTAGGATCTGGTGTGATCCAGAGCCAGCATCACATACTACTAGGATCTGGTGTGATCCAGAACCAGCACCCCATACCACTAGGATCTGGTGTGACCCAGAACCAGCATCACATACCACTAGGATCTGGTGTGACCCAGAACCAGCATCACATACTACTAGGATCGAGTGTGATCCAGAACCAGCACCCCATACCACTAGGATCTGGTGTGACCCAGAGCCAGCATCACATACCACTAGGATCTGGTGTGACCCAGAACCAGCATCACATACTACTAGGATCTGGTGTGATCCAGAACCAGCATCCCATACCACTAGGATCTGGTGTGATCCAGAACCTGCATCCCATACTACTAGGATCTGGTGTGATCCAGAACCTGCGTCCCATACCACTAGGATCTGGTGTGATCCAGAACCAGCATCACATACCAGTAGGATCTGGTGTGATCCAGAACCTGCATCCCATACCACTAGGATCTGGTGTGATCCAGAACCTGCGTCCCATACCACTAGGATCTGGTGTGACCCAGAACCAGCATCACATACTACTAGGATCTGGTGTGATCCAGAACCAGCACCCCATACCACTAGGATCTGGTGTGACCCAGAGCCAGCATCCCATACCACTAGGATCTGGTGTGTCCCAGAACCAGCACCCCATATCACTAGGATCTGGTGTGATCCAGAACCAGCATCACATACCACTAGGATCTGGTGTGACCCAGAATCAGCATCACATACCACTAGGATCTGGTGTGACCCGGTGTCCTATGCTGGATAGGATTCAGCTTGTGGGTAACACGGCAGACAGCTGGTGATTGGCTCGTCCAGGTGTCTATAATCTGCTATTAGTTTCCTTATCTCGGTAATAAAGAATGAAAACTCGGCATTCCGGCTGCATGGAGGACGACTCCATCTCACAGGTGCAGAGAAATATATCTGAACTCCCCCTGATTACCGGGAACATCAATAGAAGAGGAATCTGCGAGTCTCATCAACAGAGAGAAGACCATGACATCACCCGAACTACAGAACTCCCCCCCCCATCCCTCTACCAACCGCTAATTACATCTAAGAGGGAATGTCATCCAGTACAACATGGAGAGGGGCTGGTGATGGCGGTGTGTGGAGAGGGGCTGGTGATGGCGGT